AAAAAAAAAAAAAAAAAAAAAAAGCCATGACATACTAAACCATTGGTTCTCAAACCCTAACGTGCACCAAAATCACCTGGAGGTCCTGATGGAGCCCAAGAATGTGCATTTCTAAGAAGTTCCCACATTACACAGGGACCACATTTGGAGCACCCCCCCACCACCACCACACGCCGCGCTAACTCCTCAGGTCTCAAGTATAAAGCTCACTTAAGCCAAATGAGATAGCCCCCCTCTATGTTCTGAAAGGATGCACCAGTACCAAGATTCCTGGAAAGTAAATCAGATCAACTAATAATTTAGATGGCCTACAACCCTGAGTCCCCAAGACACACAGTGAGGCCATACTTACTGCTCTAAGCATACTTCAAGGTTTCCATTTCATTAGAACTTTTGCCAAGAACAACTCAAAGATTTTACTGCCCAAATAAAACTGTCTCAAAGTGGCACCGCATGACCTGCAGGAGAGCACAGCTTTCCTCCCTCTCCTTTGAAGTGAAAACCTGAGTTTGTTCCCTGGGAAACTTTGAGGAAACTGAAGGAATGGAAGAGGGTGGCCACAGTGGGATGTGCAGAGCTCCATCACAGCTGTGCATGAAGCAGCCTCAGCGCAGGCCACCTGAGAACTTTCTAAGTCAAGACAGAGTGGGGAGCGGATGGCACAGAGAGTGCGATGGAGCCCCACGTGGGAGGACCCCTTGCTTCCCAGGGGATGAGCTTCCCCCTAATGAGGGGCTGGCCTCATTTGGAAACATCCTGGCTGTGGGTCAAAGCTCCCTGGGGTCTAGCGCTTTCCAAGCCAGTTATTACTGGTTCAGTCTAGTGTTGGCATTCACAAACCCCCACATAAAAAGCAGTTAGCTGTTAGTTCTAACATGATTCAAGTTTTTAAAGACAGGGAGATCTCACCTTGGTGAGAAATCCTACACATACACGCTCATATATACATGCAAAGCCTCCCTAGCACCTTAGGGGAGGTTTTTCTTTACAGTTTCTCAGGGGCCCCAAGTGCTGGTTTCTACAAACTTCAGGAAGAAAACAGCAATGCTGGGGAAAGATGGATAAATGGACTAGTGGGTGCTCGACCTGGCACCACTTGCCCTCTCCGGCCCCATCTCGAGCAGGGATGTGGCCAGGACTAGCCCCAGGAGGGATGGGCTGTACAGGGCCCTCACCCTGGGAACCAGCATGAGGAAGGACCCTGCCTCCTCCTCCCGGCCTGTCTCACTACCCAGACTCCCTCAAGCGTCTGTAACACTACCATTGTCAGCACGTCACCAGTGGTCAAATGTCCTGTTGAGATGTACCATCTGTGAATTGCATAGTCTCACCCCAAAATACCCACCAGCCCTCCTCCTCTCTCCCTGACCTCCTCTCTTCCCTGAATAAAGCCCCCTTCCCTGCAGCCGCCTGCAAGCTTACATTCCAGCCCACTACCCCATGTGAAACATTTTCACCACCTAACAGTTTGTTCCATAGAGGCAAGATCAGAATTATTCCTTCTGTTTTTTGCCAATGTCTGCCACATAAGTTACTCAAAAAGAAAACAGAAAAGCGACGGAAAAAGCAGTTACCTACATGGACTGCCTGCAGCCTCCTTGCTCAGGGCTTCTCACCCCCAGCAACATATCAGTATTATTTAGGGAGCTTTGAAAACTCCTGATGCCTCAGCCCCTGCTCCAGGCCAAGTGAATCAGAATCTCTTGGGGTGAGGCCGGGCACCGATATTTTCTCAAAGGTGACCAGGAAAATTCAATGTGTAGCCAGGGTTGAGAGGTGCCATGCTAGCTTTTAACCAGCTACTGGAGACACTGGATTCCATGTCTAGAGCTCCTTGGTCTTGGAACCTGGGCCTTCTGACTATGGAGCTATGCCCACTGCCCTGGCTTCTAGACCACCACTGCCCCGTGGCCCCAAGAGCCGAGCAGGGCTTCTTGGATCTGTGTGACTCCTGCAGTCTCCATCTATGCGGAGAAGGGAGAAGAAGGGAAAGGCTTGTCAAAGGCCTCTTCTGTTCCACTGACGGGGAAGAAATACCAGCACTGAGCCTGTGCCTTGGATACAGGAGGCCTGCAACCATCCTCCAAAGAGACAATCTAGAAATAAATGCCTATGGCAGACACAATCAGCAGCCCTGAGGCCCCTTGGTTTTAGGGCTAGAATAAAGCCCCCAGTGAAATGGTGCTCTTAAAAGAGAAATCTCAAGTTTTACAGGATTTGGTATGCTGTACTAAAGTGTCGGTCAAATAAAATGGATCAGGTGATAACTTGTTATTTCAGCAGTTGTGAGTAGTTACCTTTCAACTCTCTTTGTTGTGGGTACTTGCTTTGAAGGGTCCTGTTAAGACAGAGTTATAAATCAGGTATTGTTCACTCCACACCACACCCCCAACAAAAAGGACTAGCTCTCACTGCAGTGTGGAAAGCGTGTGAAAGACATAGAGGTTTTTATCACCTAACGTTAGCACAAGTTCTCGGCATGGCTTAGAAAATGCAGTTAAGGTAACAGAGAAACTGTCGCATATGCTCCAAAGCATGCCTCTGTGGGAAGGGGCAAAGTCACATGATTCCACAAAGCCTGCAATGGAATTCCCTGTCTTCAGGAGTCTGCAGCTTCTCAGTTAATGGGAGTGGGTCTTGGGTCTCCTTCTCTAGGTCAAAATGGGTTGAGAGGATGGGGCCAACGGGGCAGTGAGTTTGCTTTCTAGGGACCAACCTGCTTCCAAGAAGAAAAGCCACCCTATGACTGCAGATCTTCCTGCCTGCCTCTGACTCTGCATGGGCCTGCACTTCTTCCAGTGGAAGGAGCCTCCCTTGCGGACACAGGTAAGCAGGGCTTCCCAACCTGCACCCCTTCTGAGGAACCACCCAGAGGTCCCCTTCTGCAGTCTTGCCATCGCCTCTGTGAACGTGGAGTCCCTGGGCACAGATGCCTGGTTTTCTTCCCAAAGCCGGCCTCCCATCGGTAGTGAGGAGTCCCTCACTTCAGCATCACCCCTTTCAGATCACCAGACAGTGTCGGCCAGCCACACAAAGGACTGCCAGCCTGCCCTTCAGAGTTCCTCTTGTGTGCTCTTCCTTCCTTTCTGTCCCAGGCTTGTGCCTGTCTGAGTCTTGAGCCTGGTCAGTTCCCTGCTGTAAGTGTTCCTCTTAAGTCCTCCCCATCTGCTATCCCCAGGGTTCCCCAGCTACCCATCCTCCACTGCCTCTCAGCCAGTGACCCTCAGAGTGCCCGCCCAGAACAGCAGCATCAGCATCCCCTGGGGAACTTGTGAGAAATGCAAGCTCCCAGCCTACCCCAGACCTCCTACATCAAAAACTCTGGGTGGGGCCCAGCAATCAGTTTAACGGGCCCTCCAGGAGACCCTAATGCCAGCTCAAGGTTGAAAACTGGGCTCAAGTCCAAATGCCTTCGGTGGGCACCCAGAGCCCTGCCCCATGTAATTCACATGCCTGCCAGTTCAGTTCCTTTACCCCCATCTCTTAAAACCACCACCCCCACCAACCCACTCATGGGTCCCTTATCTCAGGACAATGGGGCCTCCGTGCCTTTTCCGTCACTCCTCCTTCGTGGCATCTGAAGCCTATCCTCCTCCCTCCCCCAAGCCCCGCCGCAATCCAGGCTCCAGGGCACCTTCCTCCACGAGGCTGGGACCCTCTTCCCAGATAGGGCCTGCATTGTCTTTCTCTCTGAGCCTTGCTGGGTGCCTACCAGAGCACCCTGCACACGACAGGTGTGTGATAATGATCTGCTCATTCAGGGAAGAACGATGACTGATCAGCTGATGGATAACTGGAAAGGTCTGCGAACAGCCTGCGGGGGCAGGAGGGGGAGCCTCTTTTTAATGCCTTAATGTGCCAGGCTCTCACTAAATGATTTCACAGACTATCTCCTTCCATTCTACCAACAGTCTTGCAAGCCCATGTTATTTACCCCTGCATGGCTGTCTCAAGATACAGCCCCAAATGGCCATATAGTTTCATTTCCTAAGGAGCAAGAGTGTGACCATGTATCTGGGGACCTGTCCACAGAAGCATGCCCAGGGAAAAGTTAACCAATGACTCCACATGGTTCCCTCAGATGTACTGGCCGCAAACAATGTCTTCCCATGTCACACACACCCAGGATCAGGCCGCCCCTGTCACACATACCCAGGATCAGGCCGCCCCTGTCACACACACCCAGGATCAGGCCGTCCCTGTCACACACACCCAGGATCAGGCCGTCCCTGTCACACACACCCAGGATCAGGCCGCCACAGTACTTCAGAGTTCAGGAAGTAAGCTTCGAGAATGCAGTCAGTCAAAGACGACGGCTTCAGTTCACTGTCGCATCTTGTACCGCTTTTTCACGTTTCTTAATGTTGTCAACTAAACAAAAGTTCAAAGTGGGGACATCTAGTGTGTGTCCCAGACGATGCTCGTGGGCGGCTTGATGCGGCAGCAGTCAGTGCCTGGCACCCTAAGAGGAGTCAGCCCAGCCCTGGAGAGCTGCAGCTGGAGGAAGCCCTGGGCCATCAGGAGGAACCCAAGAGTAAGCAGGCTGGAGAGGACAAAGGGGAACGAAGACAAGCCATCGTGAGGCCACAGGAATGTCATTCCAGAGGTGGCAGCCAGATGCCTTCGAACTTTCTGAGCTCTTCCCTCCAATACTTCCGAGCCTCCAAACTTCAGGAAACTGTCTTTGCCCTTCTTTTTCTCCTGCCAAAATGCCACTTAGCATCCACTCCATCGTTCCTTTCTACAAACTTCTAAATATGTGCTTTGTATTCTCCAAATACATTTATGCTGCACAGGATCAATTAACAATACCAAGTCATCACTTACGACTACTAGACCTTCCTCAGATCTGTCTCAATATAATGATGTAGTATAATGCAGCCCCTTCCCAAGGGTCTCCACGCCAAGTAAATTTTGCCAAGACCAATTCCTACTCAGCTGTTCTCCATCGAGTGAGGCTGCCTTATAAAGCAGAGCGATTTTGTAAATCAATCAATCAATCAAAGAGGGCTTGACAACTCTTTTCTAAAGAGAGAGGTGGCGATATCCCAAACCTGCTTCTTCATCACAGGAATCATGCAAATGCAGGCTGCCCTCTTAAAAACAGGGTCCGCAACGCTTCTAACCTAAGCAGCCTACTCATCAGCTGGCTGAGCCCAGCCCCATCTATTCTTATCTGGACTATACTAGTTCCCCTATAAAAGAGAGGTGAGCATTCTCTAAGTCTCAAGTGGACTGGGACAGCCGTACAGAATTATCAATGTCCCATGTGCCACAAATGATCTGCTACCCACATGGACACAAGGTCTGCCGTCAGGCTGACGAGCCAGAGCGAGGGGTGGGTGGGGCCCCCAGGTTGACCCCAGTGACTCCAAATAAGAGTCTTACAGCATGTGGCTATGACAACAGAGAAACCATGATAGGAGGATCCCTGACCTTCTCACAGTCCTTCAAGGTAGGCTGGAAAGCAGTTATGACTTAGTCATCTGCAGCCCAGAGCGCCTTGGTGGTCCCCCCGTCTCACACTGCTCCTGGCAGGCCACAGCCTTGGCCGAGAAGGGGTGGACACATTCCAGTGGGTGGCCTTCCCAAGCTTTGTGAGTGTCATCCAAGGAAGGATGGCCGCTGCTCCGCAGACCACACCGGACAGCAAGGGCCTCCAGCCCTCCCCTCCTCTCATTCATTCTTCCTAAAACAAGTCCACTCACTTTGAACAAGCCACACAGATTCTTTTCAGAGCCTGAGGCTCATGCTGTCCTTGAAGTGCCCGCTCTGCTCTCCTCTCTACCTATGAAGTTCAGCCTGATTCCAATTCCACTGGCCTTCCATAATCCGGTCCTGGTCAGAGACAGCTGATCCAAACTTACATAAATTCATTAGGAGTGGAAAGGCCTTCCTCATACGCCTAGAGTTCATTGCTTTGAAATGATACACTCACAGAAACACTTCCAAAAAACCTACGCTCTGTTTAAAGACTCTTGGAAATGTAAATACAATGAAGAAGCATAAACAGAAGACAATTCATACTTAAGTCTCTGGTCTCTGAAGATCCAAAAAGCACAGCTGGCCCAGATAAGACACCGTGAAAGGAATGCCACAGGCCCATGCCTCTGCCTGCTGTCAAAAGGAGAAGCAGCAAAAATGGAACAGGTGTTTTACTCTCCATGGCCCCTAAACAGCTAGGGAATGATCTATTCTAATAATGCATCTCCTTTAAACAGATAGCAAACATCTCTGGAGACAAACAGCACAGATTCCACGCAACATGGAACAGAGCCTGTGTGTCCCCAGCTCAGGCACTCCACACTCTCTGCTGAGGCCTTTTGGAAATGTTAGGTACAGTAGGACTTACCAGCAATTGACATGATATTCAACATCCGGAATGAAGTTTTGTTGAACGCAGCCACAGCCATTTGCTTGTACATCCATGGCTGTAGCTGCTTTCACACTAAAAGGGCAGCTTTGAGCGGCCGCAAAAAAGGCTATGTGGCCCACAAAGCCTAAAATATTATCTGGTCCTTAAGTTTGCCGACTCTTGCTCCTCGTTTTTGGATACAAGGACACTTTGAAACACCCCCCATCCATGGCCACCAAAGATCATTTACTTTGACATCACTCCTTCCCACACCTTATAGCCGAGCCTGTCATGGAAAATACACACACCCCCCTCTTCATCTCCACTTCACAGAGCTTCACCACGGCCGAGAGAGACACACAGCATCCCCAGCCGCCTGAACTGAGAACCCAAGTCAAAGCTAGTCTGCGATGCAAACGTGGCTAGCCCAGATTCCTGCTGCTTTTTATCTACGCTTTCAGGACCACCTTGCAACCAAGGGGTTCACTTCCCAGTCACGCCATTGTCTCTTCCCTCCTGCCTTCAACATTTTCTGAGGGGGAAGTGTCCAATGTCCAGCTCACACGAACAGGATGAACGAGGTGGACTAAACAACAGAGTGTCTGCTAAAGCAGGAATTTAAAAGCCGAAGTCTTAGAGGTACACCCGCCACTGGCACACACTGAACTCAGCCTGTTGGCCAGGTTCCTTTATGTAAAGCACAGCACCCTCACATGGTGCTGAAGGGAAGGACAGTCTTGCTGAGAAGCTGGCTGAGATGCCATCTCTGAGGGCCCAGCCCTCACTCTGCGAGGATTTTAAATCAATGTTATCCAGATTTTCACCCTCGGCTCCTTTACAGATAGCTCCTTGCTGGAAACTTTACACCAAGAAGTATAAACTCTGACCTCTACAGAAACTCACTAAACCGCAGCAAATGGGATTCAGATGTTTCCATGTACAGTACAATGATGTGACCTAGACTTTAAACACTTTGGCAAAAACAGGAAAAATGATGTGGGCCTTCCAGTCCCTCCCAGAACATGATACAGCCTTGACCCAAGCCCTACAGTGATCTGAGCCTTTCTCACTCCCACTCCAGCCTCCCAGCCTGTGGTCAACATTCCCTCCTACCAGGCCCCCTCCAAGATCTGTATATCACTTTCCTTGTTTCACCAAAGCTGCCTATTTTTCCCAGCTGAGCAAAACCAGACCATACCCTAATCAGAACTCAGAACATTCCTGAAAGGAAAGCCAGGCTGATCTAGGAAACCGCCCAGTTACCCGCAGCACTGGGAAGAAAGGAGAGGTTTTACATAAGACCTTGCACCCCCAGGCCTTCTGGCTTCCTGGATTCTCCGGGTCTTGCCACAGACCCTGAGGGTAAGGGCTGAGGAATTCTAGCTAGTGGCACAAGAAAAGGTGGAGGGAGCAGTTTCCTGTGCCTGGGAAGGACAGACATAAACTAATATCAGAAACTGCCTCCCCAGAGGCCAGTCATGACAGAAGACAGAAAAAAACCCCTGCTGTTCATGCTCTGGGTCCATACCAAGCTTTGTTGGGGGCAGCCCATCTGCCGACCACGTGTGCTGCTTTCGGGGGCGCTGAGTGCTCCTACGGGCACCAGTGCAGCCACATGATCAAGTGTGTGCACAGGCAGGGCAAGTGCACACACGAACTCCCTTGCCCCCAGGAGCACCTGTCACAGGTGCCTCAAATGCCACAGGGTAGGGACTTGGGGACACGGAGAAGTTAATGCCACAATGAGGGAGCTTCTGGGGGCAGGAACAGGGCTTATTACCAATGTAAGCATCCCTCAGGCCAGGTTGGGGGTGAGCACCAGACAAATGCCTTCTAATAGTATAAGGAAACAAGGACAAAAACCCTTCCTCTCCTGTTTCTTACGTTTCAGTAAGAGTGGGGTTAGCCGTGGCCTGTGTGGGCACTTCTCCCAACTTCCTGTTCCAGGTACAGAAGGAACACTCAAAAGGGAGGGAGGTGAATGCGCACTCCCCCACCTCCATGTCCAAGAACAGAACATCTATATGCACGTAGGTACTCCCGTGACATACACGCTTACACAGCGGTGCAGATACCGTGTTCACTCCGCACTGGGGCCAAGGCGCCTGTGTTCAGGGCCCTGACAGTATCATCCCTGCTAGATCCGCGTTCCCTTTGGGCGGGCGGCGTAGACCCCACGCAGCCCCAGCTTCACGCGGGGTCCACGGGCTACAGAGGCGCTGGACTCGGAGGCTACCCCTTCCACCCTCTTTGCCTATAGAGGGTCCTGAAGGTAGGGGTGGGGGATGGGGAGAGGTGGAAAGGCAGGGGGTTCTCTCGGGTTCCCCTGGAGGCTGGACTTCCCGCAGAGGCGCCCCACCCCCACCCTCCACGGCGACCACCCTGCACCGCAACAGACCCGACGGGCTGACGCGGAGGGGGCGCGGGCAGTACCAGGCCGCCGGCGGCGCCGCAGGCGCTGAGCGAGACGAGGGAGCCAGGGTGGCCGAGCACACTGCCCGAGTAGAAGCACAGCTCCGCGGGGCGGCCGCGGCGCCCGGCCGCGCCCGCCTCCTCCACCTCGAAGCCTCGGGACAGGAAGCGCAGGTCGCGGCGCAGCTGCAGGTACAGGTCGCGCCCGAAGGCCGGCAGGTGCAGCAGCAGGGCGCGCTCTCCGGGCCGGGCGCGCGGGGCGGCGGGGGGCGTGCGGGGGCGCCGCCGCCGTCGGGGCCCGGGGGCTGCGGGCAGCGGCGGCAGGTGCACGTCGTCGGGGCGCACCCGCCGCGGGAGTACCACCTCCACGTCGGCCGCCGCGTCGCCGACAGCTGCGGGGAGAGAGGAGACGCGTCAGCTCCGCGGGGCCCGCCCTCCCGCCGGCCCTCCCGCCGGCCTCCCGCCGCGCCAGCGCGGGGACAGGGCGACCCGGGGCGGGCGCTGCCTTCCCTTCCCTCGCCCGGCACCTCCGCGCAGGACCGCGCCACCCGGGGAGGGTTCCCGGCGCAGCCGCCCGAGCACCTCCCGGGACGGCGCCGCGACTCGGCCAGCGGAGACCCGGCGGCGGCGGCGCGCCTACCACGGAACCACCCGAGTCCCGTCCTGCGGCCGCGGCCCGCGCCTCCTCCGCCCGTGCGCCGTCAGCGGTCCCGCCGCCGCCCCGGGGCCGCCAGGACTCCACGAGCGCGCAGAGGGGAGGCAGCCGCTGGACGCGGGGGGGGAAGGGGGCCGTGGGAGGGGCGCTACCTGTGCTCGGGTCCAGTCCCCAAACCAGCAGCAGCAGCACCGGCAGGACGAGCGGAGGCAGCAGGGCGCCGTCAAACATGGTACCGGGGACCGGCAGCCCCCCGGGCCGTGGCGGCGGAGCAGGAGCGCGCAAGGCGGCGGCGCCAGAGCGAAACCCTCCAGCCCTTGGAAAAAGTAATTAGCGCTGCGGACAAACCCAACGTGGTAAACCTCAAGCCCCGCCTTTCCCTCGGAAGGCGGGAGGTGATTGGGCCCTCTCTTTCTTCCGCCCCGCCTCCTCCTTCCCTACTGGTCAGGATGGGTGGAAACCGCAGTGCGTAGTTAGGTTGTAAGCACTTTCTTACACGTGGTTTCTGGGCAGTGCCGGGGACGCGGCACCAGGTGGCGCGCGGGAGCCGACCGGAGCCGTGCGACCCTGGAAGAGCCGGAGGCCGCGGGGCTGGTCTTCAGAGCTTGTACTCATTTTGAAAATCCTTTCTCAGCCTGCTGCCCAGTTTCCCGGGAAGACAGGCCTGAAATCGCCCAGGCCAAGCATTTTGGCCAATCCCAAAATGCATATACTATTTACTTCTAAGGTCAGGTTTTAGTTGTTTGTGACTGGAAAGACTCCCAGTCCACTCTCCTGCACACCTGAGCTTGCACCTGATGGCTATATCCGCGGCGTTTATCCAAACCCCTCACACCTGCTGTCGTCTTCAATCCCACAGGAGCCAAGGCAGCAGGCATGCTCACGCCCCCTTACAGATTGAAAAACTGAGGAAGAGAGAGCTTAAGGAAAAATCGCTTGAGGTACCCAGAGAGTTCCTGTTGCAGCGAAGGCTAAAATTTGTGGTCCTGATTTCTGACTTGGTGCTTCTGACTAACAGCAGGATTCCCCCGCCCCGAGGGAGGCAGGACTCAGTATTACAGGTTAGGAAAGCAGGGCACAAAGTCCCAAAGCCTGGACTTAAATGTGAGTCTCCCAGAAACAGAATGAGTTGATCCTTTCCTGCCAGAACATAACAGATCTGCAGGGAAAGTGACTCCTTTAGCTTGCTGAGTAGCATCTTGTAGAAAACAAAATGAAACAGTTAGCTGAAGTGTAACCATAACTGATCTCAGATTTCCCCTCCCTTCCCTGTCCTGCTCTTTTCCGTTTTCTCAAAGCAGAAATAGTTCCCCACTGGATGCTGATTGAAGCCTCAAAGTTTAAATTAATCACAGGACTACATATCATCTGAAGGAATCTAGAACACTGTCCAGCTTCTCCGAAATATAAGGAACCCCAAGGGCAAACGGTGGCCCCCCACAGAGGCTTGCCACTCACTGCTTGGCACCTGCAATTCTGGGGCATCTGCACAGCTCCTGCTCTTGGGCAAGCCTGGGGATTTGTTTCTCCCCCTTGCCCTTGTCCAGGCCAACAGCTTCAGACAACTGACAGCTCAGCAGCATTTTCTGGCAGCACAAAAAATGCTGGTGATTGCGGTGATGGATACCCCATTTACCCTGATGAGATTATTATGCATTGTATGGCCATATCAAAAATGTTCATGTACATAAATTTCCCAAACATATACACCTATACCTACTATCTACTCAAAAAATATTACTTTAATTTTTAAAAAGATATCACAGTAAGCTTCTTAGTGAATCCTTTTGTCAAAAAGAGCTATCTCCAAGGCCTGCCACTAAAAACCATGGAATATGGGCAACACCACCTCACAAGGACAAGTCAGCCTGAAGTAGTCATCACCAATCTATCAGATGATGCTCAAATGCTAAAATTAGTCCATAGGGACATGAAAACTAAAACAGCAAGATACTATTTTATTTCCCAACTAACCAAAATTAAATGGCTTAGAAAAATCAAGAATTAGGACACTCTCCTGCCCCTGAGTGGGAGTATAAATTGGCATGGCCACTTTGAGGAACAACTGGGCAAACGGTAAAACTAGAGATCTAGTTTTAGTAAAACTGAAAACAAGCACATTCTACAACTCTGTAATTCCACGCTGGTTAATTACTCCAGAGAAACTCTGGCACATGTACAAGAATGTTTGTTCACCAGGGCAACTTATTAAGAGCAAAAAATTGCAAAAACCTGAATGTTCATCATTACATAAATGGCTACTTGAACACCATTAATTAAAAGAAATACAAAAATCTCATAGATGTAACAACAGGCACAGATCTCCAAGATCAGTTACCAAATTTTTTAAAAAATCAGATTGCAGAATGATGCACACAAAAGGATAATATATATATAAACATACACATATGACATAATCTGTATGGATTCAGATAAATGTACATAAAATCAAAGAGAAAAGTCTGGAAAAATACACACCAAATTTTGTTAAGGTTTATTGTTCTTTTTATATGAAATTGCATGTTGAGGAAAGATACTACTAAAGGAAAATAAAAACCTGGGACCCCGGCTGAGCACGGTGTCTCATGCCTGTAATCCCAGCACTTTGGGAGGCTGAAGCAAGTAGATCACAAGGTCAAGAGTTCAAGACCAGCCTGGCCAACATGGTGAAACGCTGTCTTTACTAAAAAGACAAAAATTAGCCGGGCGTGGTGGCACACGCCTGTAATCCCATCTACTCAGGAGACTGAGGCAGGAGAATCACTTGAACCGGAAAGGTGAAGGTTGCAATGAGCCGAGATCACACCACTGCACTCCAGTCTGGACAACAAGAGCAAAACTCTGTCCCAAAAAAACAAAACAAACGAAAAAAATCCTGGGACCCCAATTCACCCTACCAAAAGAAAAATTAAACTGAAAGCTGAGTCATGCAGTAAGCTGCCTTTCCTTTAGTTCCTAAGCACATAGCTACAGATAAAAAGGTTAAACATCTCCACGGGTAGCTGGGAGAGTGAGAGGGAGAAGGAAGAACTGAGAAGTGATGAAGGCAAGATGGTGTTCGGTGGCTACATGCTGCTCCTGTGCCTGGATTGGATTCCAGCACCAGGGGCCTGTGCCTACTGCTACACTATTAAAGACACTGTCACAGTTGTCATGGTTGACTCTGGATCTACTAAAGCAGTGCCTCCTTGTCCAGGGCCCAGTTTTCATTGTCACACCAGCAACTTCCAGCACCTGTTGCATGGAATCCTTACTTCTGCCCCCTGCCATCTGATCTCCTGCCAGGGCCTCTTTTGGCAGAAGCTAGCAGGAAGCCTAAGAAAATGTAAGGCAGTCAGAGAATGAAGGTTGCAGACTTGGAGCTTCAGTAAAAAGCAGAACCTGGAAGTGGGAATGTGGGGCTGGGAGACAGAGCCACTAAAGGTCTTAATCTGGCCACTATGAATCTGAATTCCCTTTGCCCTTCATCCTTGTGTTCACCAGTCATAGTAAAAGTTTAAGTGTCCACGCCTTCAACTTTCTCTTTCATAGCATTTCCTCCACAATACGATGCACTGCCTTCCCCTACCCAAGTCCCGACCCTCCTCCGAGATGTCTATAACCACTTGCAGGGGTCTGTCCTGCAAACCTCGACTCCGCAAGGGATAAATAAAACACACTTACACATAGAGTAAAGTGCACAAGTGGGTTAGGGAGGTCGTCAGCTGCTCTCAGAGGGCGATTGCAGCTAACTGACCCCTCACTAGCTGTTCTTCCTCACACGTATTCAGTATAGAATTAATGACAGGGGTTCTAAGTTAACATGCTTGTGGATAATTAACATGGTTAAAAGAGTGGTTTTATGAATGATAAAAGGTTTTGGTTCCCAAGCCCAGAACAAACACCATTAACAGGTAATCCCCCTTCGACCTCCCCCTGAGAGGACCGTCCAACACAAAGTTTACTTCAGTAAACAAATAGTTAAAGTAGAGACAAAGGAACATGGGGTAAACAGACTTAACTGCGGAAGCTTCTATTTTCCCAGATCTTCACCCTATGACCTAATGCTCTAAGATAAGAACAGGCTGCCTTCATCCTGTCCCATTAAAACCTTTCAGCCTTCCAAAAGGCTTGAGACTATAATCTTACAACTCTCCCTAGTATTTCCCTTAATATTTTGCCAACCACACTGAGTGAATCTCAACACTCCTCAGTCTTGAGACCTTCCCATTTGCCCTTAGGAGCTGCTGCCCCATAGCCTAGATCTTCTGCCTCTTCTCTGAGCATTCTGTACTTATGAAAGGAATGCTTTGAAAATGTAAGGTGGCAACAAAATTCTACATTTCTCAGCCTCTCTTTTCCCCTAACGATGGTCACTTGTCACAGTTCTGGCCACTGCAATAGAAGAAGCTACTAGCTAGAGTTCTAGGAGAGTTCATTTGAGGAGCTTCCTTCTGGGGCTGTACACCTCCTTTTCACCGTGTCTCTTCCTCTTTGCTCCTTCATAGAATTTGCATGTGATTGCTGGAATTCCAGCAGCCATCTGGTAAGCATGAGGAAGAAAGAGTGTCATACCCCTGGGAAGCAAAAAGATCAATGAACTCTGGGTTGCTGCTGACATCTTGGAGTCACCATGCCAGACCTGAGCTGTCTGCTTCTGCACTTTTTTGCTATGTCAGAAGAAATTATACTCTTGTCTCATTTGGGCTGTTGCTATTTGGGCTGTCTGTTACATGCAGCCAAACTTGACCCCTAACACATACACATATAGACAACTCCCATCCCCACCGTGGGGTCTAGGCTCCTCCATTTACTCCCTCAGTGATCTTCTGCGCTATGCTGCCCCAACTGTCCACTCTCAAAGTCACACCCTAGACCTTGTCATCACCCCTAGCTGTTCCACCTTCCAAAACTTGAACATCGACCTCTGAGCATGGCTTCCTGTCCTCCCAGCACGCTTGTCCAAATGCTCCTACCTGAGAAGACCTCTCAGACTGCATCTCCCAACCCACCAGCCTCTCTTCACTGCGCGCCCCCCCATCCAGCTTACGTTCCAGCCTCCATCACTCTGAAAACACTCTTGCCTCTATGCTCAGCACGCTCCCCTATGGCTTTTCACTGCAGTTGTCAGGCAGAACTACGGGCCTAGGCAAACTCAACTCTCTACTCTCACGGAGCATGTGTTTGCGTTCCAAACACCGCTGGACCCAAGCGTGCAACAGGAAAATCTGCAATCACCTTCTTCGCCTGAGCCATTGCCATGCCCACCATTGCCACTACGCTCCTCTGCTCAACTCCCCTTTCTCTCAATGCAGTGATGATCTCA